TCTGCCCAGCAACTCCAGGTCATACTAGGCTCACCCCTTTGTGGATTTCTACAGCCCTCAGCTGTAGATTCTTTAGGGCAGAGACTGTTGTAGAAGCCCTGGGCACTAGAGGGCGAGGAGGTTGCGGAGAGGCCGGAGAAGTCAAGCCCTGAGAGAAGGTCCGGAATGCGCATCCCTGCCCTGATGCTCTGGTGGGTGGCCGGCAGTGCCAGCGGTGGGCTGGATGACACCTGCCGGTCTCCCGGGCAGGTACGCTGGCAGGGTGCCATAGGCCTGGCTGGTGCTGGTGGTAGCAGGACCCGGGGGTTGGGGGAGGAAGATGGAGAGTTCATGTTTATCAGGCCTGGAACTTTGCCTGCCTTGTCCTTAATCTGTCCACAGCTAATTAGACCCCCCCCCCCCCCCCCCCCCCCGCTCGGCGGAGCACCATTATTAATCACTGCGGGAGAACGCCGAGTCAGCGGGCGGGCCTTCTGCTCGGGGTAGGGGGGGGTAATGGGGGGGGGAATCCCAGGTCCTTGGGTGGGCCCTCGTTGCCCGGGGCACTAAGAGGGCCGTAAGGATGCGGGGCTCCCCTGCGAGGGTTCTGGGGTTATTGGGCAAGGCCGCTGGGGCCCTGTGCCACCTGGGAAGATTGTGGGAGGAAGGCTGTCCTATCTCCCCCCTCATCTTTGCTTCAACATTCCAATTTTGTTCGAGGTGACAGACCAGAGGCTCACTTCCGCAGACTTGTTTGCAGTGAGGGAAGGCATATGACACAGTTCGCACTCAGTTCGTAAGCTGAAACCTGGGGGCTCTAGGAAGGCTGTTACTTTCCTGATAAAAAGGCATCGGATGCCGCTAGTGCGTCCCTTGTTGCTGTTTCTCCTTTCTGCCTTGAATGTAGACTTCAAACGCTGCAGCAGCCATCAGCCTCCATGAGGGAGAGACTAAGAGAACTGTAATAATACCAGCCATGAGCTGGCAAACCAATGCCAGTAACCATCTGACTTCTGGACTTCTGTCAGGTGAAAATAACAAATCTCTAGTTAGCCTGCTGTGGGTTGGTATGGTTACTTGCAGCTGAACACAATTCTTTTTTTTTTTTTAGATTATTTATTTATTTATTTATTTGAGAGAGAGAGAGAATGAGAGAGAGAGCGAGTACATGAGAGGGGCGAGGGTCAGAGGGAGAAGCAGACCCCCTGCCAAGCAGGGAGCCCGATGCGGGACTCGATCCAGGGACTCCAGCATCATGACCTGAGCTGAAGGCAGTCGCTTAACACAATTCTTTGTGTTGAACTGAGCCACCCAGGCGCCCGCTGAACTGTGTTTGGACTGAGCCACCCAGGCGCCCGCTGAACACAATTCTAACTAGGGGAACTTAGATGGTACCAGCCTGATTGCAGAGATGCCCATGGTACCCAGAGTAATCCAGATATTCTTGGGCTTCAGCAGCCAGTGGGCATGAGTGAGGTTATGGTACCCAAGGCCACTAACTCCACCCCTCCTCCAGTCCTTCATCCTTTAAAGTCTCATTCTCTAACCCCTTTTAGCCACCTGTGTTATTAAGAAAGTATCTGGATGTGACGTTGATATATCAGTCATGTTAACTCTGTGTAATGGAGTTCCTAGTAAGGCAAAATTAGATTTTCCGGCAAATAAGTAATGCCTCTTTTCTTAGTTATGGAACTCTGAGGTACAGAAGCAAACACATTGCTTTGGAGGGGCTCCTGGCTGGCTCAGTCCAAAGACCACGTGGCTCTTAATCTCAGGGTCATGAGTTCGAGCCCAGGTTGGGTGTAGAGATTACTTAAATAAATGAATTTTAAAAAATTGCTCTTGGAAAAGGGTGCAACAAGGAATACTGTGGTTCTAAGAAGGGTTTGGTATGCATAGGTGGAGGTATTTTTAGGGCCAGATAGCCTCCTAGGAGGACTGGGGTAAAGACTCTGACTGACCCTTCCCTTTTTGGGGTTTCAGATTATTAGATCAATTTCTGATGACCTGAAAAGATAGAAAGGACCCCAGAGGGGAAACTCACCATCAGGAAATGGGGTGTGTGAAGAGGTGAACCAAGCTAATATCAGAGATTAGATGTTTGTTTGGTGGGGGGAAGGGGGATGGCCTGGTGTCCACCCAGTAGGTGGCTGGGCAGAAACCCTTCTGACCCAGACACTCTGGCAGTGGTCATGCTGTGGGAACGATGGCTGCACAGATGAGTGTGAAATAAAAGAGTTGCAGCCTGGAGCCCAAGTGTGGGGCCCAGGTGTGCTGTGCGTTCCCAGGGACTGTGCGAGCAAGGGCAGCACTGAGCTGTGGACGCAGAGGTGTCAAACTGTACAGGACCTGTTTTCAACAGTGACCCCTGGTGGCAGCAGACTGCTATGACTGTTCAGTTCTGTCTCCGCCTGACTTTCGGAGACAGGTGCTGATGTATTAAGAATCTCCAGTTCTCCACGGTTCTGAGAAGATGAGAGGAGGAAGACCCCGAGAGCTAGAGAGGTAGGGTATAGAGCGGTTAGGAGGATGGACTCTGGCATCAGAGTGCTGGGGGTCAAGTTTCTGCTTTGCTTCTTGCCGGCTTCCCTTGGGTACAAGTGTGGTGTTAAGTACTGCAGACCTGTGCAGTCTCGCAGGAGCCTGCCTCAAACCAGCCCCACATGTGATGTCATGCTTGATGCCTTGAAAGCCTTAATAATTTTGGATAAGCCTCCCCGCCCCCCTCTGCCATTTTGCACTGGGTCCTGCGATTATGTAGCCAGACCTGCTTGGGCAAATTATTTTATTACTTCCCTCTGCCTCAGTTCCCCCATCTGTAAAACGGGTAAAAAAAAAACCTATCTGCCTCAGTGAGCTGTTGTGAGCATTGAGTTTTTTTTAAACCACAATCAGCACTTCACATCTTTTTTTTTTTTTTAAGATTTTATTTATTTATTTGTCAGAGATAGAATACAAGCTGGGAGGGGGGAGCAGCAGGGAGACGGAGAAGCAGGCTCCCCACTGAGCAAGGAGCCTGATGTGGGGCTCGATCCCAGGACCCTGGGATCATGACCTGAGCCAAAGGCAGATGCTTGACTGACTGAGGCACCCAGGCGTCCCTTAAGTGAATTATATAACATAAAGTATTTAGAACAGAATCTGGCTTTGTAGTAAGCTCTGTGTGTTAGCCATTGTTTTTGTTCCTATTAATTTAGGCAGATGCAGGCTCTGGCAATTAATCTGCAAAATGCAGAGATGTGAGCACATTTGTGTGTCCAGCTTGTGGACCATATCAGATCAAGCACATGGTGAAACAATGCAGGAGAGGAAAATGTAACCCTGGATTTACTTCTCATACAAGATGAGATGCCTTATCAAGCCCACATCCATCTGGGTCCTCAGGGCTGACAGGAGAGAGGATGCTGAGGTCTGAGAAGCATGGAGTCAAGGCCAACCTCCCACTGCAGGGGCTGGCTGCAGAGGTTGGGCACGGCTCGGAGGGGCAGGCTGGGGCACCTTCGGGGAGGAGACTGCCATCGCCCCACAGGATCCGGCTGCAGGGCAGGGGGTCATCACCTCAGGCCCATTTCCTGTCCTCTCAGATGTGACACACAGCCTTCCCTCCAGCCTGGGATCCATCCTTGCATTTACAGGACCAGCTTAGAGGATACAAGGTTGGGGAGGAGGAGCTTTATTAGGATGATTATTCTAAATATACTTACCTATTGACATGTAACATATACACAAAAAGAGGAGAAATCTTAAGTGCCCAGCTCAGTGGATCCTCTTTGAAGTGAATATACTCAGTTCAAGAAACAGGACATCCCTGGAAGTTCAGAAACCCCCTTTCTAGTCACTCCCTCCTTCCCTAGTCAGCTAGGCAGCTTCCCTGCATAGCAGTTTCTAAAACCATTACATTTCACTTTGGGGATTTTTTTTTTTATTTTGAGAAGTTCCCAATCTACAAAATAAATTGGAAAAATAGAACAGGAACACGCATATACTTACCTACATATATCAACTATTAACATTTTGCCTCATCTGTCTTTCTGTCTCTCTCCTTTTCTGTCTTTTGTCCCCGAAGTCTACACATGCAATTTTCAGAAACATTTGAGGGTTATTTGCAGACATCTTGACACTTTATCCCTAAATATTCTAGCACATATCTCCTAAGAAGTAGGACATTCCTACAGTGTAATTGTCACACTGAAGAGATTTAAATTGCTACACGACTATTATATAATATATAGTTGATGTCCATATCTCCCCAATTATCCCAATAATGTTCTTTATAGGTATATATTTCAAATCTATAATCTAAACCTGGAACACATTTTGCATTTAGCTGTATGTCTCTTTTTTTTTTTTTTTTAAAGATTTTATTTATTTATTTGACAGAGAGAGATAGCGAGAGCAGGAACACAAGCAGGGGGAGTGGGAGAGGGAGAAGCAGGCTTCCCGCCGAGCAGGGAGCCCGATGAGGGGCTCGATCCCAGGACCCTGGGATCATGACCTGAGCCGAAGGCAGATGCTTAACGACTGAGCCACCCAGGCGCCCAAGCTGTATGTCTCTTTAGTTTTCTTTAATCCAGAACAGTTCCTTGTTTGTTTGTTTGTTTGTTTGTTTATCTATCTATCTATCTTTTGGTCTTTCATGACATTGACATTATTGAAGAGTACAGGCAAGTCTTCTAGAATGTCTCTGAATTTGAATTTGTCTGATTGTTTCCTCATGACAATGTAATTTAAACATTCTTGACAAGAAAACTACATGAGTTTTCTTATTAATTATGTATTTATTTTTTATAATTTATTAACAATAGTGGCTGCAATTTATTGAGTGCCCGTCATGTGATGTGGGAATTACTGTGTCCATTTTACAGACCAGGTAACTGAAGCATAGAGTGACCAAATACTTTTCTCAAGGTCACACAGTCAGAGAGGAAGTGCCAGGATTTGGTCTGTCTCCAGTGCCCATGCTCAGAATCAGTTCCTTTTTTTTTTTAACAGCTGATAATCAATTTATTAAAAAGGTTGATTCAAGCATCAGCATGGGTGACTTCAACCTCAACTCCTGGCTCAATACTGATGGAAGTAATCTGCTTACCAATCTCAGAAGGACTGTATAAATCAATGAGTCGCTTGTGGATCCTTATCTGAAAATGATCCCAAGTCTTAGAACCTTCATCATGAAGAGTTTTTCTTGTAGTGATTCTCAGAGTCTTGGTGGGCATCAGAGCTGGTCCTTTCACTTTGAGATTCTTTTCCTTAGCACCTCTGATCAAGTCAGCACATACCTTCTCCAAAGATTTTACGTTGCAGCTGGTTAGAGTAATTTTAATTCGGTGAATCACCATCTCTGGTTCCATGGGTATCTTCTGAGTGTCTTTAAAATCCACTGCTACGGCGTGACCCCCTGGCCCACCTGTTCCTCTGTGAGTGCGAACAATGGAGAGTCAGGAGCAGGAGCGGGGTGCCCAGAGCTCTGTAGTCACTGCAACCACACCTCCCTCAAGAAGAATGCTCACAATCAGTTCTACCCACTGTCGGTAAGGACTGGTCCCCTTGGAAGGAGACCTGACGCTGTGTCCTGGAGGGCAGGGGCTGCATTGTGTTCTCTGCTAAATTCCACGTGTAGCCAGGGCCAAACCCAGGGCAAGAATCTGTAATTTTTTGTTGAATAAATGAATAGATAAATGGGGCGCCTGGGTGGCTCAGTTGGTTGGGCGACTGCCTTCGGCTCAGGTCATGATCCTGGAGTCCCTGGATCGAGTCCCGCATCGGGCTCCCTGCTCGGCAGGGAGTCTGCTTCTCCCTCTGACCCTCCCCCCTCTCATGTACTCTCTCTCATTCTCTCTCTCTCAAATAAATAAATAAAATCTTTAAAAAAAATGAATAGATAAATGAATGACATTTGTTCTACTGACAAAAATTAGCATGGGGTCCATGGACCAGTGGCATCAGAATCCCCCAGAAAGCTCGTCAGAAATATACGTCTGTGCACACCAGTGCCAACTCACAGAAGCTACATCTCTGTTGGTGAGACCTGAGGATTTCTTTGTTAATTTTTCCTGATGATACTGATATAGATAAAATTAAGTGAAAAAAGCAATTTTCAGAACAATGCGTACTGCATAATTTCATATGTCTCTTTCTTTGTGTTTTGAGGTTATGTGGTTATACATGGATTTAGGGGAGGAGGACTTTACCTTAAACCTGATGTACTTTTAGAGATGAGATGACACAGATGATCAATTAATACATTCTGCAAAAACTTAAATACTACAGATAAGTAAGGTAATTATATACTTTATCCCCCAATCTGAACACTTTTGATAGTGAAAGTCAATGCTGTTATTAGTCACACTAGCAACAGAGAAAGCAGGTGGTCACCCTGCCAAGGCCAAAGTCCCCTTTGATCATCTCCCCTCCTGGATACAGCTACCTCCCAGGTGGTGGTATAACCACTGTTACCAGTTTGATGGGTGTTTTACACACTCTACAAGAACAATATGAAGCTATTGGAAGCACTTTGTTTGGGAGCTTCTCTTTTTCCACAAACGATATCACACTAAATGTAACAACATGCCCGCTTCTTTTCTTTCACTCAACACTATATGTCTTGGAGGTTTAGCCACGTCAAGCCCACATGGGTCTGCTTTATTCCTTTTAACTGCTATAGAGCATTCCACATATGACCATACCTTATTTTTCCATTCTCTTGTGAATGGACATCTGGGTTGTTTCCAATTCTTCGAAATTACTAAAATGCTAATGATCATGGTGATGGTGATAATGTCTCAATGGTGAAACAACCTAGCATCCATCAGAGGTCAGTCAAAAGTTAAAATATTTTCAGGAGATGGCATTTTTGAGGAATAACTGAATTTATAAGCACAGTCCCTCTCCAGGTCTGAGGATTCCCCACTTTCCCTAACCAGGGAGGGTACAGGTGAGGTCCAGAAGTGGGGCTCTCCCCAGCTTCACCATCAGAAGACTCCAATGCCCCTGACCCCCAGATCTTTCCGCCCTAAGCTCCTCTCCCCAGGTCTGACTCCTCCAGCTTGCTGTTCTTCTTTCTCCTCCTTCCACTGTTCATGAGGCTCTTTCACTCAACTGAGGTGACAGCTGGATGCCATGGAAATAGCCTGTTCTCCACAGCTGGACAGAATGTGTTCAATTCCCAGTTCCATCACTGACTGACTGTGTGATCTTGAGTGAATTGCTTTACTTCTCTGGGTCTCCAGCTTTTCATTGGTAGAATGGGGAAAATATTATCTACTTCCTGGGATTGTGGGCTCTCATGTGGGAAAACACAACAGGTAATATGCATAGCCTTTGTTGCCACCAAGTGGGTGCTCAGTAAGTGTTCACTTCAGTCCCCCTTTCCTTGTCTCCTCATTGCTTTGTGTGGATTAGTGTCACGGCAAAATCAAAAAGCCTGTGGGTGCTCCCAAGGACCAGGATTGAGTTGCCTCCTCTTTTGTACAATCCCTGCCCCTCTCAAGTCCAGCACAGATTTGGGGCTCACTTAGGGTCCCAGGAGGGAGCAAGGAGAGAGTGTAAGGAGGCTGTCTTTGTCTAGGGTCCTGGGAGACTACCCAGAGAAAGACAGGGAGATAAGGCCCTGCCCTGGGACAGATACCTCACCCATGGGATTTTTCAATCTGATAAAAGCAATATTTTCTAATTCAGGAGGTGTCTAGTCTGATGGAAGAGACCTGGTCTTTGCCTCCAAAGAATCTCCCAATCTGATGGGAGGGACATAGTATCCCCTGAAGTGCTTAGCCTGATGAGGGAGACATGATATCAATTCCCAGGGAATTTTCCAGACTGATGGAGGAGACATACTCTCTGAAAGCCTTGCTAACTTTCATTGAAGACTTCCATTTTTCATGAACCTCTTGTAGCTTCTCTTCCTTCCATATATATGTGTGTGCTGCTTTCGTTACTGGACTGTGAGTTTCATGAGGACAGAATTGATGTCTCACTTTCGGGATCTCTAGTCTCAGCTTGTTTCTCAGGAGGCTTGCTGACTGGCTACGTTTTCAGGGATTCCCAACAGTCGGGCTCCTTAAGCCACTCAGGGGCACAGGCAAAGCAATTTAGAAGATGGGAATGAGTTATCCAAGACAGTTGAGAGGAGGGGATGGTGAGAGGTTGCCTGGGCCTGGGGCCTGCCCTCCCACCCTCACTCTCTCAGCTCCCTTATGGAAACCTCCACAGCCCTGTCTGTGGCCTCTCCCCTCATGGGAGCTGTGTGCTGAGGTGGGCACCTCTGTCTGTGCAGGAGAGGAGAAAACATGTCAGACCCAGAGCTGACGGGCAAGTCAAAACTACTCGTTAAATGGCTTTAAAGTAGTGGCCATTTATAAGTTAATGAAAGAGAAAATAGGCACATTATACATACAGATTTGTCCTTAATGAGGGGAAAAGGCATTGTTTACTGATGTTCAGTTCTAATTATCCATGCACAAGGCTAGCTTTTTTCCGGCAGTGCAGCGTGCCCCCATTCTCCTATCTTCTACCATGTTCCTTTAACCCCTTCAGTGCCCAGCTGGACACTGACTCATCCCTCAGAGCATCAGGTTCCAGTGCTGGCTGAGTAGCCAATTTCTGACTGAGTCTGCAGGGACCTTTGACCCCGAGACAGGCCCGGCAGCTGTTTATGTCTTCTGCTCTCCTCAGCTGGATGGCCAGATGTGGGACAATGCTGCCAAGGACCCTCAGGGCAGCCACCCGTGGAAAGACGCAGAGCTCAGGGATGGCTGCTTTTCTGGGGAGGAGGCTGCAGGGCAGAAGGGGGGACTCAACTGAGGAGGCAGATGGAGGGTCGGGGCTGCGAGCCGGGGACTCCCCACAAGGCAAGGGCTTAGGAGCATCACCCACCAATACCATCCTTTACAATTTCTCTGAAACTGTCAAGAAGGAAGAGGATCCCTTGGGAAAGGTGAACAGTGGTGGTACTTCCCAGACACACACTTCACTGAAGCCATTGCTGAGGCCACCCTTGACCATTTTTCACTTAGCGTAAGCACACCTGAGGTCACCTGGATAAACAGATAACTCCTCACCACCCCATAAACTTCTCCCTCATCCTCAGGTCCCAGCCTGCTAGATGTTGCTTGTCCTCAGTGGGGAAATAAACTAGCAATAAGGATGAGAGTGGAACATGCATGACTCTTGCCAAAGTGAGTTCACAAAGCCTGCTCAGCTTGGGAAATCAGTGAGGAAAGAAGAAGGTGCAGGAGTTATAAACTGGCAATGGGGGGAATTGGTGGGGGGAGGAGACGGCTCAGTCAGTCTCAACCACAGTCCTCCAGGGGCACATTTGAGCTGTCTTTAGGAGCCTAGGCTGGGAAAGAATTTGGCTTTCTCTTGAACTTTCTGGGTGAGTTCCCAGCAGCAGTTTTAGCTTGCTAACGCTCCGAGTGCCTTCACCACGCTGCACTGGGAGGTCCAGGAAAACGTGCCTGGGGGCTACCCACAGGTTGTTGCATGGGTGGTGGCAAAAACGTTACTGCTGCGACCACTAGACAAGTGTACATGGAGTGACCCCATTGCACAATTTTGAGGGTTTGATAAAAAGGGGAACTTCATGATTCATTAAAAAGGCAGTTGAACAACTTTATACCAACGAGTGTGAAAATTTAGATAAAATGGACAGTGTCAAAACTGACAAAAGAATAGAAAGCCCAAATAATCTTATAACTGTTAAAGAATCTGAATGTATAATTAAAGATCTCCTCACAGAGAAAATTCCAGGCTCCAACTTCAGTTCTTCCTTTGCCAGTTATTGGGCACTTGCTGCTATGAAAGCCAAGAATTCGATCTACATTCACCTTCTTATGCCTATGTCCTACACTCTCCTGAAATCAGGAGAGTTATGTTTGAATCCTCTTTCCCCGCCCTTAACCCAGAAGCAATGTCATGCAGCGTCCTTTTCATAAATACCTCCTATTTCGTTGATGGTTTGAGTGGGTAACCAAGAGAAATTTTATGAGACTATTAAGGGTCCTTGTGTTAAGTCACTTATATTGATCTTATTTAATGTACACAAGCTTCATGCAAGAGAGACATTATTTTCCCCGTCTGAGGTTCAGAGAAGTGGACTGACTTGTCCAAGTCACAGAGTTAGAAAGGAGAAAGGAAAGAAGGAGCCCAGGGCCATCTGCCTCCAAAGCCTTTTCCTTTCCTGCTGTTCGGCACAGCTGCCCAGGACAAGCCTGTTCCTTCCTCAAAGGAAAGAAGATCATGACTGAATCCTCTCCCCACCCCCAGCCCCCATCTCCAGCGTTCAACATCCAGGTCAGAATTCCATGTCCCTCCCATCCTGATTACAATGCTCAGGAATTTCTTCAGTTGGTCAATGACCCTCTTGCTTAGCAGCCCCCAGAACTGAACCTGGCATTGAAAGGCATGGTTGGCTATTCTGTTTATCTATTTCTAGGTTAAAAATGATCCCAAACTTAATGGGGGTAAAACAACCATATATTATGCCTACAGACCCTGTGGGTCAGTAGTTTGAATGGGGTACAGTAGAGATGCCTTGTCTCTACTCCACGATGTATGGTATCATCTGGAAGACCTGAAGGCTGAAGGTGACTCAGTTGCTGGGGGCTCCTTTGCTCATATACCTGGTAGCTGGTGCTGGCTCTTGGCTGTGACTGTTGGCCAGAATATCTATATGTGGCCTCTCGTACGGCGTTGGCTTCCTCACAATATTGTGGCGAGATTCCTGTGTGAGAGTGCCAGGTGAAAGCCATGTTGCCTCTTAGGGCGTAGTTTTGCTAGTTGTACAATATCACATTGGTGACTCAGCATTTGCTGAGGTAGCCACAAAGTCCTACCCAATTTCAAAAGAGGAGAAATAGACTCTACTTCTCGATGGGCAAGTGTCAAGGTTCTAGAAGAGCAGGTGGGCCTGGAAATATTGCTGTGGCCATTTTAGGAAAATACAGCGTGCCTCATGGGCCTAGCTCAGAGGACACTTTCCACACAAGGGGACTTGAGAGTTTCACAATGTCATTTATTCAGTCGACACACCTCGATCAAAGTGTCTTCCACGTGCCAGGCCCAAGGACACCCCCAGAGGCCCTGAGAGATTTGACCAAGATGAAGGAACTTTGGGCTTAATTCTCTCCAACCTTCTGGGAAACATTGCTCTGGGTCACTGTGGCTACAGTTCAGAGAATAATTTCTTTCTCTGGGGGCTGTTGTTAAATTGAAGTTTTATACTCCCATTCCTGAAAGAGCAGGTGTATTGAACAACTGAACAGTTTCTGTTTTGTTTTTTTTTTTTTGAAGAAAAAACCAATTTGTTTTTTACTTATATAAAGCTCTTATTTTTGTTGCCCCACGAAAGAACTAGGTCCCTCAACGGGACGGAGGTTCCTGCCCTTTGATGAGACTCAGAAGCCGGATAATCCATTTGTGAACTAGCTCTCTGTGGTGTAGAGGGAGAAGCTGGGAGAGCTCCTCTACCCCTTTTCTTGAACTCATGAGTGTGGCTAGTGTAACTGGTTCACTTGCCATCACCCTGGAAAATGTGATGATCTGGTCATGACAAGTTGAGTTATAGCTAGCATAAGAATCATAGTATTAACCAGTATGGGGATCATACTCCAGGCTCTGGGCTGAGCATTTTACACACTGTCCCATTTAATCCTCTTCACAGTGCTGTGAGCGAGTACTAAAATTGTTTTCACAGATGAGGAGACTACTTGCTAAGGCTCAGAAAAGTTAAATAATTCACCCAAGGGCACACAGCTAGGAAGTGGGATTTGAATCCAGAGATTCAAATGGACTCCGGAGGCTGTTCTCTTAACATTGGCCTATGCTGTGCAGACACTGGCCTGGTAGCTTAGAGGGAGGGGCACGAATCAGAGTAGGGCAGGTTCTGGGTTTTGGGTGTCTCCTGGTTGGGTGCCAGAGACTCATTCTGCTGCCTCAGTCTTCTCCTCTGTAAATGGGAATAATACCTACCTGAGCGAGTTATGTAAAGCACCAGTATAGTACTCCAGACCCAGTGGGTGCTCGGTCTGTTTGGGGAGTCCCCTTCCCTCTCTCCTTCCTTCATAATTTGCCTTGACCTCCCTTCCCAGAAGTAGGGGGATGGACAAGATTATTTTCTTACCCATAGCTGCTCTAAAATCTCCAGTTCCCTAAGCTCCTGCTGGATTTCAGGGTTCCAGTCCCTCTCCATCGTGCTTTTCATTGGGAGAACTTTAAATGATTTTATAAAAACTGCAAATGTACAAGGTAATTGAGTCTTCTGTTTTATTACCCTGAGCTGCCTGGACCTTGCCTGGCCTCCTCCTCACTCACCGAGCCGCCGGAATAAAGTTGGAAGTGTTTGTGCTAGTAATATATAGGACTTAATTAACCTGGCCTTTTATAGCATTTCCAATGGAGGGTTGGAACGAACTTCGAGGCAGCTTGAGAAAAGGGAAGAGGGAGGGCCTGGGGTGGGAGTGTGTATGCATGTACAACATTCGATGTTGGGTTTTTTTTCCCTCCTGTTCTTTTCTCTAGTACTTTAATCAGCATTTAATGACCCAGTCGAAAATCCATCATTCAGACCCAGGCACTGGTGGGAAGGGCTAGAGGGGAAGCCTGACTTCTTCCATTGTCTACAGCAGGCTCTGGAATGGTCGATGAGTCCAGCCACACCAACTTCATTCCAGAGACTTCCAGCAGAGGCTAATCCTGCTCTTCTCAGGCGGGAGGCAGTGAGTAGACATTAATAAATAGACTCTCTGTGTTGGCTAATACCATTCCCTACTCAAATGCAAACAAACCCAAGAAGGCTCCAATGGGGTCATGTCCCCATTCCTGGGAGCCAAGCTGAGTTAATCTCCTATTCTGTCTATCCCTTCCTCCCTCTACTCCTGAACATTCCCACTCCTTTCCCCTCCCAGCATGAAGCCATGCCTGAACCGGACACCCTTCTAAACCAGCCCAGGAAAAAGTGACTCAACTCAGATCCACCCCGGCCACAGGGGGAGGGGTTTATAACTGCCAGAGTACCTTCATGTCTTGCAACCATTATTTTAGGGAGACTTCCAAGTGAGGGCAGTCAGGGTAAATGCCTCTCACCAGCTGCCTGTTCAAACCATTGCTCCACATACCATGGCTCATAAATCCTACCCCGACACCGCCGAGTGGTTACATCATCTCCAAACCTCATGCAACAATTCGATTTGGAAATAAAAAGGCAGGTGTTAATTGACTCACTCCCTCTGCCCCTTTGCAGTGCCCCTGACCCTTGATAGCTTTTAACCTCACAGTTAATAAAAGTTTGGGGCCCAGTCCCAAAACAGTTCCTCATTCATTCTTCATAACGTCAGCAATTTCTTACTGAGAAACTATAATGTAAGTCATTGGCTAGTCCCTTGGGGGAGAGTGTTAGGTGGCCAAAGGTGAGCAAGAAGCATTTCATGCCTGAGCAAAGCTTCCAGAGGATGATCACAAATTGTGCAGATTTGAGCAACAGGTGCTATGCGTCCTCAGAGAAGGCCTGGGTGCAGCCACAGTTTTAGAAGAGTCTCTAGCTCTCAAGTTGAGTGCTCTTGAGTTTGCCTGCCCAGGATCCATTCCTTCTCCCAGAGCACCCAGGTTCCCCTTGGGGGAATTTATATCTCTTTCCCTAAGTTGACATAGTTTCAAATGGGATTGAATGTCTGGGGTCCTTAGGGATCAGCCCATGATCAGAGTAGGTCAGCCCTCTCGCCCCAGTGATTAGTTCAGTGATGGGCATGAAACTGAAGCTGGGCTAATGAACACTAAAGCTTCAGCTACTGGGGAGGAGGAGCTCTTTTTTTCCAGTGGGGTTGGCCGGAAATAGGTCTGGGTCTGTTTGCAGCTCTCTTGCCCTCACTCTGGAGATGCTTCCTGAGCTGTAGAGTGAAGCCGTCACTTCACTCCCTCCTTTGGCTTCAGGTTATGTGGTCTCCTGTACCACTATGGACAGCTCTTGCTTTTTATGGGCGTGTATTATCCCAGATCCAGGTGATCCTCTGTCTACCCTCAACTAGTCTGTGTCTAGGAAGAATGTTGAGGACAGCAGAGCTGAGAGATGGAAAGAAGATTGTTGAGGATGTTGGGTAACAGGATCCAGCCCTGTCTAAGTCCTGAGCCCCTGAATTTTCACTTAAGTGGGCTAATGAACTGCTTGTGTTTTCCCTGTTTACCTTTGCGAAAGTCCGTTTCCTTAGAATTTCTTTTGCTGATCCAGTCCCCGAGTCCCAAGCTTTCTAGGTATAGGGACCAATTGGAAGTCACTCTTTCCCTCCCCAGCTCAACAGTGGGCCAAGGAGACATGGGCTCCTTTCCACTTTTTCATTTATGAGAGAGTCAGGGCAATTCAGGGTCAGGCTCTGGCAAGAGAGTGCCTAGAGCACATCATTTCGGGGCTACTCATTTTTAAGGTCTGCACTAGTGTGATTCTGAGAGTGAGTGCCTCCTTAATTTGTACCTTAGGCTTCTTTTGTCTCACCCTAGTCCTGGCCCTAATCAGGTTGCTGGGCCTCCATACCTATCTGTCTCCATACCCAGCCTGAAGAATTCAGAATAGATTTCTACTGTCTTTCTTCCCCCAGAGAAGGGCTTGGCCCATTTTCTGGGCCTTGAAGGATAATGGTCTATAAAGTCCTGTTATGGGGCTTTAGCAGGTCAAACCAGAGCAGAACCAAATACAACTCTTGTTCTAGCCCAAGTCTCCTTCAAAAGGGCAATCAACCTATACCCTCCATGTTTGGCATAAATAAGTCAATGGAGAATCTTCAAATTAGAGTGGGTTCAGAATTATCAGAGACACCAGATTTACTTTTATCTTTATTTTATTTATGTTCATCCATGATTTGACTTACCTTAGGATGAAACAATATTCTTTCTTAGCACAGATTAGTTGAATGTAGACGAAGGTCAAGCACTTGGCCATGGGGAGATGCTGCCTGAGATAATACACACACATGAAGATCAAGAGCAGCTCACTGTGGTGTAGAAGTTAGCATGGCCTGCAGCCAGAGGCCCTCCCTTGATCACACCAACCGGCTGTGTGTCCTTCAGCACAGTTCTTTACTCCTCTGACCTCTGCTACCTCGATTTGGAGGGGCAGACCATAAAGGATGAGCTCTGGAGGCAGAGAGATCTGCCCACAGTCCCAGCTCTCCCTGACTTGGGCAAGCCCCACTCTGAGACTTGTTTCCTCATTATTATTCCTCAGTGGGAATCATAAAGGTACTTCCCTCTTAGGCTCCTTTTAAGATTCAATGAGATAATGAAGTGCTTAGCACAGCGCCTGATATAATTTCTCAATTAATTATTATTGGTGTTAATATTCTATAAAACAAGAAGACATTTTAGAAGATCAAAAGTACTGCCAGGCATCGAAGTGCTTAACCAACTGAGCCACCCAGGCGCCCCTGCCAGGCATCGAAGTGCTAATACCAGATTTCATCCCAGCCCTAGGGGAATCATCATTGTTTTCAGGGTATTCCAGAGCCAGTGTGAACTGAACACCTACTGTGAGCTCTCTCGGGGAAAGAGCCAAGTCTTGCCTTTTCAATTTTAAGAGGTCTTCACCACCTCCAGCCACAGTAACATCACATCAGGATTCCTCTGGGACCGAGGTATTCACTCCCCTTCTCTTTTTCTCAATGGATGCCTTGTCTTTTCCTTAGAAATCTTCTAAGGAAACCTGGACTCCTCAGATATTCCACTGAGGTGGCCCTTAAACCTTATACCTTTCTTTTCTTTTCAGAAAAGAAATGATTTCTTTTCAGATGTGTGTCCTTTTCCCTCATTAGGTCATCAGTACCTTGAAGGCAGGGACAGGTCCTGAGCTTCTTGGTGCCCCCATAAATCTAGGTACAGAGCAGGTCCTTAGACGTCAGTATTAGACTCATGAGGCCCTGTCCAGCTGGGTACTGTGTGCCTGGGCCTGGGCTGGATAAGAGAGGACCCTAAGGAAGTGTTTGGGAACGAAGAGGGCCTCTGACTGCAGAGGCATCCCATATTCTTTTGGGGGCCACTAGAATAATCAGAGAGCTCTTCCTGAAGCAGCAACAATTGGCAAGGCCTGGGGGGCTCGGTTACCGGAAGCCCTTCCCAAGGCCACAGCCACCCTGGGTAGCCTGCCTGGTTTCCCCACGGGCCCCAGGGCTGCAACTGAACAGTGTTGGCCTCTTAATAAAAACAGCACCAATGCCAAGTCCTAACTCCACGGGAGAAATAGCCCTGTGCCCCTCGATCCCATTAACATTTCACACCTTAATGTGGCCATATTTTTGGAAAGCCAATATGATCTGAATAGCTTATTGGCATGCAGCTCCAGGTGGGGGTGGGGGCTCCAGGGGGGGGAGCTCTGCATAGGGGATGTAATTAAGCCTCAGAATGTTCGATATATGCCCCAAAAGGAGGGCATTTGGGGGTATGAGAGCAAGAACGATGGGCTTGTCCAGGAGGTTTGTGTGCATGAAAGCTTGACCGTTGCTGGAAAGTCCCAATGCGTCTCCCACCCTTGCTCACACCAAGCCCCCACCCTAGCAGGGCCACCCACTCACCATTTGGGTCCCTAACTTTGCATTTCCCAAGCAGACCCTATCGGCAGCTCTTCTCAGATAAAATACATCATCATTTGCTCCATTAGAAAATAAATGTATGGCTATATTATGGGATTTGCATTCCATTACCTTGGTTTGCATGCCATAAAACATTTATTACACCCTTGGGCTAAAGTCTTAATAATGACTGGGTGTGAGGCACTAATGTGGTGCTGGTCTTGCTCGGGAACCAGAGATTAATGCCTTTTGATGTCACCCAGCTAATAGTCATGCTCACCAATTTGTCCCATCAGAAGACATTAGAGTCAGGCCCTGTGTGGGGGTGGGGGACCACTGCTCAGCTTCAGCTGGGAGACGGGGCTCCTGCTCCCTGCCCCCTACCTGGTCTTGTTCAAAATGCCCAGGATGAAATCTCAAAGTCCTCCCTCTTCCGTTCCCCATTCCACTTCCTTCCCCACCCCTACCCCTACCCCCAGCCTTGGGCAACTCCCCACCCCTGCGCATGATGAAGCTGTGACAGGGGGTTAGCTGGTTGCTTTCTTCCCAGACAGCCGCAGCAGCAGGCAAAGCAGCAATAAGGGTGCATGGGAACGGCAGGTGCACACGCACACACGTGCGTGCACGCACGCATACACACACA